TCAGCCGGAGCCTGCTCACGCGGCGTCCGCCGAGCGCTACGGCGGAGTGGGTGTGGCGCACCAGGAGCATTCCCCTCGCCGACGTTCATCTGTGATTCGCGGCGATAGGCGGGAGAGCCGCAGGGAAGGTCTTCACGCTGGCCCGCGGTCGCCGCGTTCGCCTCGTCGCGTGGCGTCACGGAGTCGTTCGCGTGATCGCAGGTCACACCGCCACCGTTCGCCCGCTCGCCCTCATTCTCGTCACCGTTCGCCTGTACGCCAGTCGTCCCGTCCTCGATCGCCTCCGCGTTCGCCACGTCCCTCGAAGCGTCCACGGCTCGACTCTCCTCGTCGCGTGGTCCGTTCCCCTGAACGCCAGCGTCAGCTGGGCTCGTCTCGCCAGCAGTCGCCTGTGCGTTCGGACGCAAGTGGTCGGGGGCGTCGCGGGCGGCGGGGAGGTTATGGTCGCGGGGGAAAAGCGCGTCCAGCGCCGTCCGCAATGGAGCGCCGTCTTCTGGATAGGCTTGATGACGTGGAGAAGGAGCTTCGTCGCTCACGTGCGGGGTCGGCGTCACCCCCAGCTCCTCGCGCTGCTCCCGTCGTCCCTCTCTCCGCGCTCCTGCCTCACAATCCATTCGGATCCCCGGCGCGCTCAGATCGGCCGCTGCCTGCGGGAATGGGCTTCGTAGGCGCTGGTGGCGGGCTGCCGTGGGCTCAGTATGAACCGCCGCGTCCTCTTCCTGCTCCGCGTGATCTCGCCGTGTCGTCTCACCGTGCCCGCTCGTCCGCGTTGCTTCCGCCGACGAAGAGAATTCCCACGGCGACCCTGGCCCGCCTATGGTCGCTGGCGGCGTCCCTGCAGAGCCTTGAGCGGATTCTCTAGGAGTCATATGACTCCATGCCGGTGAGCCCTCCGAGCAGGTTCTCTCAGAAACCGCGAGCTGATTGTCATGCGGCGGCGTCAGCGCTATTCGCGCTCGTAACGCCACTGCAGGTAGAGCCCTCGCCGGGAGCAGCCTCGGCCAGCCAGCTGGCTGACTCGGCCCTGGCTCTGAGGACGCTTGTAGCAGGTCCTGGTACTCCCGTTGACGTTGTAGGCGCCACCGTGTTAGTGGTCCGCCAGTTGTGGTTGAACACGAGCGGAATGCTCGCTGCGGTAGACGCGGACCGCATGTAGGTGCTCCCCCCTTGCGCGTGTAGACCCGTTCCATTATCGTGTTGCTAGGTGTCGATGCTTGCCTTGCTTGTGTCTGATGCCTAAACTACTGCTTGTTGTTCCCCCTTGTCATCCCGAGCGCGCGGCCGAAGGCCGCGCACGCGAGCGCCGGCGCGAAGCGCGAAAATTTTTCAGAATGAACTGAATACTAAGGATGAAGAAGCCACGAGAGCCTTTAAGTACTCATGGGAGAGGGCAGAAGGGTGAGTGCAAAGGCAGAAGGGGAGAGGCTAATCCTCTCTCTCTCTCTCTCTCCCTCTCTCTCGCTCTCTCGAACGATCGAGCGAAAATTTTTCAGAATGAACTGAATTTTTCAAAATGTTTCAAAATTTTTCAAAATTTTCCTTCCCTCCCTCTCTCGCTCTCCCTCCCTCGTCCCCTTGGTTCCCCCACCAATGCCCCACCCTTCTCACCAACAGCCAGTATTCCACGACGGCACCAAGGAGTCGATGTGCTGTCAACAGCAAAGCCTGCAGTTCTCAGTTACTCTCTCAGCACGCTCCCTCTCCCCTTTCCCCCCTCTGCTTCCATCCTCAACCATTATTCCACGACGGCACCAAGGAGTGGACGTGCTGTTAACAGCGAAGCCTACAGTTCTGACTCACTCTCTGCTCCCGCCCCCTCTCCCCCCTCCGCTCCCACCTCTCAGCCAGTATTCCACGACGGCACAAGGAGTGGTTGTACTGCCACAATCAGCAAAGCCTGAGCGTCTGAGTCACGCCTTCCACACCCACTCCTCCTCCCACCTCTCAGCCAGTATTCCACGACGGCACCAAGGAGTGGAAGTGCTGCCAGCAGCAAAGCCTGCAGTTCTGAGTCACTCTCTGCTCCCTCTCCCTCTCCTCCCACACCCCTTTCTCAGCCAATTTTCCACGACGGCACCAAGGAGTGGATGTGCTGCCACAAGCGAAGCCACGATTTCTCGCTATTCCTCTCCATTCCAGGGTAACGCATCGCATGCAAGCAATCGAATTCACACCAGGGTAATGCATGCGATTCATTCCAGCATACCTTGATACTTGTGCGTGATTTTGTCCTTTCTGCATGCCTGCCCTGCCGCCCTCTTCTCTGCCTTCGCGTGTCTCTTTTCATTTTTGCTTTAGAGTAACTATATGACTGTGCTTGGTTTATTTTCCCTGTTGATTCACGCAGCATCTTTGTTCCCAACCTTCTGCTCGTGCCTTGCCCCTTCCCTCTGGGTTCCTTTACAGCTGCAAGCGAGGCAAGCACACCACTGAGAAACCCAAACCAATCCCCCCTGCAGCACCAGCACCAGCACCACCGACGCCATCCCCTGTTCAAGCAGCAGGAGCGACAGCAGAGGCAGCAACCGCGACAACAGCACCATCAGCAGCAGCAGCAGCAGCATCATCGGTGCAGCAGCAAGCAGCATGCAATCGGTGCTCTCAGGGCTTCTTCTGTTCTGATCACAGTGCACGGCAAGGTTAGTATGGGCATGTGTTGTGCTGGTGCGTGTGATCCTAATTCTAGTACACCAGGTAGCTTCTGAGTCAGCAAGCAGCATGCAATTGGTGCTCTCAGGGCTTATGCTGCTCTGATCACAGTGCACCGCAAGGTGAGTTACATGGGCATGTGTTGTGCTGGTGCATGCGATCATAATCTTGGTATGCTAGGTGACTTGTGTTTCCCTCATAAGACAGTTACTTCAAGAAAATCATTCAATTCTTCTAGCAACGTGGAGTTGCAGCAAACTTCATGCACAACGTCGGAAGTGTTGGGGAATGTGGATATGTGCGGTTGTAGGGAGTTTTTACATTCAACAGAGGAGGTTTTAGAGACATTTTCAGATGTGCAGTAGTTGATAACAATGCACCTTTTCGATGACACCCAACACGTTCTACCTTAACTCTTATTTTCGGTGTTTGATGATTTACGGGCTGTAAGTTTGAAACAACCATTCTTGTAGCTAAGCACGAATTATGGTTGTTATGAACTTACAGCTCGTAGCTCATCGAACATCGAAAAGAAAAGGTAGGGTAGAGTTTGTTGGGTGTTATTGAGGAAGTGCACCGTCACCAACTGCTGCACATCCAAAATTATCCCTAGAACCTCCTATGTTAGATGTTCGATTGCCAGTCAATTCTATTGGCTGTAGAATCCATTCAAATTCGATTGCCACTCGATTCTATTAGCTGTTTGATACCTCAACAACTTCACTCCCTCTCTCCCCTCCCTACACTACACCCTGCAGCATCATCTGCTGCTGCTCCCCCCCAGCCCTCCCGACCGCCGTCGTGGGACATCAATGCGGAGCGCACGTGCAGCAACAAGGGGTGTGGCACCAAGTACCGGGAGATTGACAACAGCGATGGCGCCTGCAAGCACCACCCAGGGCCTGCTGTTTTCCACGACAGAAAGCGAGGGGTGCGTTCAGGGTTGTGGGGGGTATTTGAAGTACAGGGTTTAAGAGGGCGTATGGTGCAGCAACAAGGGGTGTGGCGCCAAGTACCGGGAGATTGACAACAGCGATGGCGCATGCAAGCACCTCCTGGGACCCGCTGTTGACTTTTGAGTCGACTCAAAAGTCATCTGGGACCCGCTGTTTTCCACGACAGAAAGTGAGGGGTGTGTTGAGGGTGGCGGGGTGTGTTGAGGTTGGGGGGGGTGTGTTGAGGTTGGGGGGGGTGTGTTGAGGTTGGGGGGTGTGTTGGGGTTGGGGGGGTGTGTTGAGGGTGGTGGCGCGAGTTGAGGGTGCAGGGGTAAGTGCATTTTGAAGGGGTGAGTCCGTTCAGTGAAGGGAGGGGTGACCTTGAACAGGAGGCAAGTGAGGTGCGAGTGTGCGAGGATATGTTTGTTGCGCTGCATGCCTTTGTAAGTGAGGTGTAAGCACAATACTCGGACAAGTTGTGACGCTTGGAAAAGAGATAAGCAATGGGTTGGTCACATCATCAAGTGCAGTAAGCACATAAATTGGAGTGTGCGAGTGGATTGCTGGTAAGTAGCCTTAGTCACCCTTCCTCGTCTGCTCATGCTCTCACCCACCACTCCTTTCCCCACCCCTGCACCTGTTCGCTTTTTCCCAATGGCAATGCTGCAGAGTAGCTGTGAGTAATTTATAGTGAGTTCCTTGCCGTTCCTTCCTTCTGTGCCAATCCTGGTGCTCACACCCATCATCGTGCTTCCACCCCTTCATTCCCCCCCCGTCCCCTCTCCCTCCATCCGTTTCTTCTCCAGTGGCAATGCTTCGGAGTATGTGTGAATGATTTTGATGAGTACCTTTCTGTTTCCTTTCTCCTCTGCCCATCCCGGTGCTCACACCCATCATCATGCTTCCACTCCTCCTACCCGTCCACCAGTCTCTTCTTTTCCAGTGGCAATGCTGCGGAGTATTTGTGAATGATTTTGATAAGTTCATTGCCGTTCCTTCGTTCACAAGCCACCTCCCCCACCTCCCCTCCACCCCCTCTCCTTCCCCCACCCGTGTCTTCTTTTCCAGTGGCAATGCTGCGGCGTATTTGTGAACGATTTTGACGAGTTCATTGCCGTGCCGCCATGTGCTACTGGCTGGCACTCTGACGAGGTGTAGACACAGTATTGCTGTAATTGCTGCCTTTATCAGCCTCATTGGGCTTGAATTGAATCAGATTCGTTTTGGGGCTGTCTGATTCGTCAGAGTTAGTACAAATTTATAGTCCGATCCGATTAATCAGACTTGGTACAAAAAAAAACTCTGAAATTTCAGAGTTCAAGAGTATAAAAGTCTGATTACACAGAGTTCACATTAATAGGGAAGCTGATGGATCAGCCTAAAACGAGGTGGTGATTGCGCCGCGCGACACTGCTGTCACTGTTTCAGCTTGACTGACAGGACTGAACTGTACTTGCAGCGCTCATCGCGGCTGTTAGTGCAGGAATACTAGAGTAGGAAAACGCTCATGGATCAGAGTACACTCTGAGAAAAAGGCTGAAAAATCAGACAAGGCATACATGTTTTTTTTCCGAATATTCAGAGTTCACAGCAAAAAGAACGCTGAACTTTCAGAGTTCACTAAAAAAAAAGGCTGAAATATCAGACTTTTTTAGGCAAATCAGAGAAATTTCTCTGACTTCTGGGGGCCATACCGTACCGTTCGGAATTTGTATTAAATTTTCGATTTATTTCATGTCATGTGCCCTTCCTCTGCCATGAGCTCAGGTCAACCACAGGCAAGCCATGGCGGCGCTGCCTCCACCAACCAGCTTCGCGAGTCACGCTCATCCATTTCCATCCGCCCACAAATCTTCTTTGCAACACAGGATGCTCCAGCATCCACGCTTGCGCTCGTGCCTTCCTTCAGCAGATTTTACTTAGACACGAGGCAAACCGATACTTTATCTCCAGTGGACGATCCCTTGCCGCCGCCGCAACCATCGCGGCGTGATGAAGCCCGCAGCAGCCCTTTTGCTCGGCGCGCTGCTGCTGCTGCTGACATGTCGCGCGGTCCCACGCGTCGAATGCGTGCTTCTCGCCAAGTCCCAGGGTGCGTGCCGCTGAATCGCGATAACTTGGATTGAATTAGCATTTATGTCTGCTTTATTACGACCTGGCTCGAGTTCACTCAACCATTCGAGCCGTCAGAACGCGCCGCTTGAGGTCGAAGCTGCTTCCCGCGGCCGCCGCGTGACGCGCCTCGAGATTAGGTTTAACTCACCGAGCCGCATTGTATAGGAGTCAGCGGACAAAATGCACTGCGCGTCTGAGAGTATGTAACAGCGGACACGTGCACTGCGCGTCCGCGGCATCGGCATCTCTCAATGCCATTGCGGCGTGCGAAAAATGGCATGTGCCATTTTGGGAATCGCAATTGCCATGAGTCGTGATTTGAGTCGACTCAAAACACGAATCATCATGTGTCATGCCACTGCCATGATTCTCGTCAACAGATGAGACACCTGCGTAGTCGTAACGACGATCGATTCGTGCGGAGAATAGTAGTGATCGATAGGGACGAGCGTGGAGGAGTGGAAAGGTGAAGGAGAGGGGAGGGGAGGGGAGGGTAAGGGGAGGTGAGGGCGAGAGAGGGAAGGGGCTGCGTGGGGGAGGGAGGCGGGGGGAGGCGCGGGTGGGGAGGGAAAGCGGGGGAGGGGAGGGGAGAGACTGGGAGGTGGGGGTAGGGAAGGCGGGGGAAGGCGAGTATGGGAGGAGGGTGGAGGGCAGGGAATGGCAGGGGAGGGCAGGGAAGGGCAGGGGAGGGCAGGGGAGGGCAGGGAAGGGCAGGGCAGGGCAGGCAAGGGCAGGGGAGGGCAGGGAAGGGCAGGGGAGGGCAGGGAAGGGCAGGGGAGGGCAGGGAAAGGGAGGGGAGGGAAGGTGAGGAGAGGGGAGGGAAGGAGAGACGAGGCGATTCATAGTTATCCGTCTTTTCCTGTTCACTCATCCCTGGCAGGAGGTGGGCGGGCATGTGATGAGGTGGGTGGGAGGGATTGAGATGGAGATGTGATGTGAGGAGGGCATGAGATGAGATGAGAGGAAGGCATGTGATGAGATGAGAGGAGTGCATGTGATGAGATTTGGAAGGGCATGTGAATTCCTTCTTTCCACTCCCTGCCCTTCTCTCAACTCTTCCCTTCCACCCGCCCCCTCCCGTCCTCTCCTCCTGCCGCCAGCGCAAGTCCTGCTGGACTGTCAGAAGGCGTGGGGCAGAACGTTTAATGGCTGGGTGGTTGGTGGGGATTGCGAGAAAGCAAGCGGCCTCAAGTGCGACCCTCAGGGCATGATTACAGAGATGTGAGTGCAAGCTGATGCTTCAGATGTGTTTTTGGATGTCTCAAAAGTCAATGCAAGCGGCCTCAGGTTCAAATCCAAGGGCATGATCATAGAGATGTGAGTGCACCCTCATGTAGGGATGAGCAGGCGAACACGAACATGTTCGTGTTCACCCCTTCTCGAACACGCCCTTTTGCCGAACCGAACACTGTCCGGTTCGGCGAACAGTTTAGGCAAAAACAGGTGTTCGCTGTTCGCCCGTGGAGGCGTGTTCGGGCGAACCTTGAAGTTGAACACGTTCGAGGCGAACCGAACAGGTGTTCGTTTCTTTGCTCATCCCTACCCTCATGCTTCAGTTCAGACGAGAGTGTGCCTTTGGGGGTCAATGGTAAAAGCCATGGGATGGGAGTGGGCCCACCAGGACCACGCCTTCTTCTTGCTTCTCCGCCTCTTTGGCCCTCCATCCATCGACCTTACTTCCCTTGTTATTAAAAGCAGCAATAACTCAGTAAGTGGCCCTCTTTGCAACCAAAAGGCACGGCACTGCATGACATGGAATGTAACGGCATGGCACGACATGGCATGGCATTGCATGGCGCGGCCCGGCACGGCATGACATGGAACGGCGGGGCGTGGCATGGCATGTGACGGCATGGCACGGCACGGCATGGCATGGCACGGCACGGCACGGCACGGCATGGCATGGCATGGCACGGCCGGGCACGGCATAACATGGCATGGCATGGAATGGCAAGGCATGGCATGAATGACATGACATGGCACGCATGGCATGACATGGCATGGCACGGCATGGCACGGCACGGCATTGCACGGCACGGGTCGAAAAAACACTCCAGAGCCGCGACTCTACGTCTTCCTCGAATCTTCCACTGCTCCTTTCAGCCTTCCCACCCACCAATCACCATATTCTCAGCTCCCCAGCTCCCCAGTTTGGAATCGCCGTTACATATAAGCCGTATAGTTTAACTAATTTTCGTGATTACTATGAGCGGTCTACGTGGTGAAATTCGTTGTTCCAAGGAAATGATGTTCCACGTCTCGCATATCGTATGCTATATGATGCCATCCATATTAGCATGCAGCATATTCATGTCACATCCTTGCTGCTTTTGAGTCGAACTCAAAAGCAGTCTCGCATATCGTATGCTGTACATCCATTAGCATGCAGTATGTTCATGTCACGTCCTTGCTTTCAGCATAGTCGCGCCACATGCATACATGCAGCACTCGCATTTCACATGCGCGCTTGCCGCATATTCACGCCATACGCACGAACGCAGACACAATATCCATCTAACCGTAAGAATCTATCGCATGCGAGCAACATATTCTATCTCTAACACTCTTGTGATTACCCTTCCGTCCGTTCCGTTCCAATGTCCGCTCTTCAGAAGTATTTCTGACGAGAACTTGAATGGCGGCTCAATCCCCGACTCCATCAGCAATCTCCAAAGCCTTGACCACTTGTGAGTGACATCCCCACCCCACCCCGCCTGGGTTTCTGCTTGATGTGCCTCAGAAGGCGCCTTGCTTGGCTCAAAAGAGTGGGTTTTTTTCTGCTTCATGAGTTGTTTAGCCAGAGGCAGCTTCAGAATTGTTCGAGTGTGACTGGATCGAATCAAGCCGCACATTTGGCCGAGTTCTCACCCCCCTGCGCACGCCAAATTAAAAATAATAATCGCAAAGAGACCGCTGAAGTTTGCTGTGCCAACTCTGTTTTGCACCCAACCCAACAACATTTATTCTCATTCTAAACCTGAGCGCCTGCGTTTAAACCAAACTGAGTTATCAAACAGAGGTAGAAAGCTTCGTTACAAGAACCTGTTTGGCGAAGACTCCTCTCCAACAATCTGTTTATACAAGAATCTGTGTGTACCAAATTGGCTGCCTCTGGTCGGGTGCATCTTTAGCCGTTGTATGCTTTGATTGCCTTCTCTTCTCTTGCAGCACCACCTGTTGAAACACCTCTTGACCTCGTCTCGTCCCTCTACTAAACAAAAAACGTTTCGATTCATAAAAGCGTTCATTAAATTGGTTATTCTGTAACACTGCCTCAACTATCTGCTTTTTCAAATTGCAGGATTTTGTGGAATGGGAATCTGACTGGCCCCATACCAGCAACTATTGGCAACCTTCCGAGCCTGATTGACTTGTGAGTTTCTCAAACAGACGGGCAACTCGAACAGATGCTTAAGTCGTTGCCAATCCTCACATACTTGCAAATCACAAGTCTAATACTCTAATCACAAATCGCATACGTACCTCATCGTGTACTTTACACAAGCCAGGCCGCACGAAGCAGAGCAGGCTCATCGCGAGCCAATCCAGGAGGAGGGCTGCATTTTTTAGCCAGCATGCTTTGTGTATGTATGCTCGTCTTGTCCCCTACTCAAACCGTTCTGAACAGAGCCACGCCGAGAAAAGCAGAGCAGGCTCATCATGAGCAGAGCAAAGCAGAGCGGCTCATCATGAGCTGAGAAGAACAGAGCAGCTCATCATGAGCTGAGAAGAACAGAGCAGCTCATGATGAGCTGAGAAGAACAGAGCAGGCTCATCACAAGCCGAGCAAAGCAAGTGCCAGAACTAAATGTCCGGGTCGTGGCTCCTTTGAAGATTCTGAGAAGTGATACAAGCATACTCCACCAAGAGCCTGGCTTGTGGCCCATAGGTATTGAACGAGCTAGGGGACAGGAGGGAAGGAAGCGAGCAGTAATGTGTGTATGTCTCATCGTATGCCCTGAGTTGGACGAGTAAAATGCATGCATGCATGTTCGTGAGGCATGAGCAAGGCCAGGCCCTGGACGAGCCTTGCCAAAGGAGGCAAGAGTGGCTTGGCTGCGCAAGAGGAGGCAAGAGTGGCTTGGCTTTAACCAGAACCCGTGTGCCTTGAACTTGGCTTAGACAGAAATGCCTTGTAAGTTAGCTCCGCTCTGTTTTACAGGAATGTCACAAGGCACACGGGCTCTGGTTGAAGCCGCATTTGGGATAATTCACTTCCTCGTTGTTGCTTATATTCTGTGCTGTTTTTCTTGCTATATGCGTGCTCTCTCTGTCCTCTCTCTGTCCTGTCACTGTCGTCATCAGGCAACTCGGTTACAACAAGTTGGAGGGCACCATTCCTGCATCTATGGGCAATTAAAAAAAACTTGAAATCTTGTTAGTGCCGACATGTGAGCCTCAGCCACTCCGCACATGGCACCAAGTGCACATGGCACAAAGTGCAGCACCGAGTGCACATGGCACCAAGCGCACATGACACCAAGCGCACATGGCACCAAGCGCACATGGCACCAAGCGCACATGGCACCAGACGCACATGGCATGACACCGAGTGCACATGGCATGGCACTGGGCTCACATGGCACCGAGTGCACATGGCATGTCATAGAGCGCACACACGTGGAATGGCACCGAGCGCACATGGCGTGGCATAGAGAGCACATGGCGTGGCATAGTGAGCACATGACATGGCATCAAGGTGCAAAAAAACGACCGAAAGATTGAAATTCTGGCGTATAATACGCTATCGTATTTTTCGGCCGTTTAAAACGTTTTAAAACGCCAAAAAGTGGTAATTCTAATGTGGTGCAAAAAAACGGCCGTTTTTTACACCAGAAATCTTGTAACCAGCTGGTTTACACATATTTTCAAGTATTGGTTCCAACCATGAACCCTCGATCGGATGAACCAGCCATGAGGAAGACAAAGGGGATTTATCAGCGGGACTGTAGTAGAACGGTGACTCCAGGGAGGAGAGGATGAAGAGTCTGGGGGGAGGAGGAGGAGGGTTGAACGAGCGCAACCTAGACACTTTGTAAGCATTGTATTGCTTCTTTGCTATCCTGCTCAGGAGCAGAGTCGTGTGCTGTCTTCAAAAAAAAAAAAAAAAGTCACAAAATCTCTAACAAAAAAACGGCCGAATTTTTTAAATCTGACCGTAAAATACGAGCGTAAAAAACGGACCGTATTTTACGTTTGCCGAAATTTTGCACCTTGCATGGCATAGAGAGCACATGGCATGGCATAGGGAGCACGTGGCATGGAATAGAGAGCACATGGCATGGCATAGAGAGCACATGGCATGGCATAGAGAGCACATGGCATGGCATAGAGAGGACGTGGCATGGAATAGAAAGCACTTGGCATGGCACCGAGTGCACATTGAGCTGAGTCGCAAGAGGCACCGAGGTGAGTGGCGCAATGCACCTAGTCACACACGAGGCACCTAGTCACACACGAGGCACCTAGTCACACACGAGGCACCTAGTCACACACGAGGCACCTAGTCACACACGAGGCACCTAGTCACACACGAGGCACCTAGTCACACACGAGGCACCGAGTTGCACATGACAGCTTCAGGGAATCTGAAACGTCACATCAATTTCTCCTTGTTCCTTTGCTCACCGCTGACGCCTGTTACTTACTGTTGCAACAGTAATATTGGTGGGATGATTTCGTTATACTCACAAACCTCTTTTTGGCCCTTCCATCCATTTCCCTTTTGCACGCTGACCTGACCTGATTCCGAGATGCAGATCACTGCTTCAAAACAAGCTGACAGGGTCCATTCCAGCGTTTTTTACAAACCTGGTGTATTTGACCAACTTGTAAGCCCTTTGGTTAGAATCAATCAAGGTCGATTATGTT